CGAGGCTCCCGCCCAGCACCCGCCAAGGTGGCCTTTGAGGGTGTTTCAGATGCGGCTCCGGGGTGTCATGGCCCGGATGGGGTGGGGATGCAGGGACGGGGGTGTCCGTGGCACGTGGCAGGGTGCCTGGGTGCTCCCCGCGTGACTCTGGCAGCTGCCAGATCCCAGATTCGGAAGGAGCTCTGAGGTCTGGCTTAATTTTATCTCTGTTCCTGTTGTTTCTCAACTTTGTGGAGCCCAGAGGAGCACTATAAAGATGCCCTTTTCTCCTTCCTATACCTCCTTGCTGGATCTATACTGTTCTCCTCTGGCAATCCGCAGCCCGCGCCCTGTAAGCATTGTGTCTGGATTTCACCTTCCAGAGGGGCACCAATTTACACTGAGCCCCCTCTTTTGGGTCTCTCGCTGTCACCCATCTCCTGACAGCCCTGACCTCCCTTCCCAGGGCCGTGGGACGGCTGGGAGCTGCCTGTGCCGCAGGGGGTTATTTAGGCAGCTGGAGCTGCCGGCACGGTTTTGGGCCGGGGTTATTTGGGCAGGTGGAGCTGCAGCCACGATTTTGGGCCAGGGTGTGTGGCGGGCGGTCGCGTCCCAGCCCGGCTGGTGCCAGCTGTATTTTCTGGAAATGCTGATATTGTGTGAGGGTCCAGGCCTGGGCAATGCGCGGGAAGGAGTGGGGAGGTGCAGACCGCCTGTTTGGTGTCCTTGTGCTGTCCCGGTGTGATTTATGGAGCTCATTAGCTGTTCTTCGTGGCTTTAGATGGCTCCAACAAGCCTGGTTTGTTTTATTTTAATCTTCACATTCCCTTGGCTGGCGGTGGGGAGGGAAGGGAGTTACGGTGCGGCAGGGCTGGAGGCTGCCCAGGGCAGGGACCCATGCGGCCGGGGGACGCAGGTGTGGGGGTGCCAAATGTGCTGGGTGCCCCTGGCTGCCCACTGCCAGGCACCCATCACCTCCTTTGCAGATCCCAGCACCCACAGCATCACTCTGGGTACCAGCCGGCCCTCACCCCCTGACGTGCTGGGATGTGCCAGCCCCGCAGACACCCTGCGCTGGAGCACGATGCTCTTGCATCACCCCACTGAACAGGGGATCTCTTTACCCCTTCCCAGACCCCGCTGCAGAGCCAGGGGAGCTGTGGAAAGCAGAATCCAGCTGTGTTTCGTCTTCTCCTTGCACAGCCCCGGTCCCTCCCTGTTCCTGGTTGCACAGTGAAGATTCAGCAGCGCAGGATGCGGCCCAGGGCGCTGGGACGGCTCTGCCCTGGGCACCTGAAGAAGCCCCGCACTCGTGAGCAGCCCCCAAACGCCATCACCAGCCTCTCGCCCAGAGCCCCAGCTTGCAGGAGAAGGTCCATCTCCCTCTCCTGCGGCCAAGCTCCCTGTCTGTCGTTCCAGCGTCCCTCTGTCCGTCCCTGCATGGCTGGGGGCTGCTGCCCTGCCTTCGGCCTCCTGACCCCACTGTCACCTTGCCCTGGGGCCAGCATGGTGGCCTGGCTCCGTCCCTCTTGTGTGATAGACGTCTGTGGGGTTTGCTTGGCCCAAGGGTTCTCCAGAGCCCCCACATTCAGCCTGCCGGGTCGTGCTGGCCACCTGTGAACCCGTTCACTCTCGGTGCCCCCCCATCCCATCCCACCCCACCCCTCCCCCGT